GTGGCCGCAGCGGGCGCGCGCAGTACCGGGTAGGCGGCGGGGCGCGCGGCCGGTGAGGTTGAAGGGCCGGTAACAGATGTTACAGTCCAGCTCGCCCCTCTCTGGAAGAGAAGGGACCCTCACCAGGAGCTGCATCGTGCCCGCCGTGGAGCCTCAAGTTGGCTATTGCTAATGCGGCCAACTCCGTGAACAGAACGAACGGGAACTCCTGCGGCCCAGGTCGAGTCCTGGGGCCCGCGCCGCGGCGTCTTTCTCCTTTTAATAGTGAGGGCCCCGCCCTCGAGGCGTCATAGCGCTGTCGGGCGGCTCCCGGCTGCGGCATGCGTGGGGGCGGTGGAGGCGTGAAGCTGGAATGTTAGCCATGGCGGAGCAGAGGAGGCTGCCAGGCAATTCCAGTACTTCCCTGGGCACATACCAGTCTTTGCCCCTTCCACTAACTCTTTCACTCCCAGCACAACTCCAGCACTCTTAAACAGTGCCATGTGCAAATCCTCAGAGCCCCAAATACCCTGGGCCCATTTATCACTTGCTCACACTTTCACAACCCCACACAGACTTCCTAAGGTAGTTATACTGCCCGTTCTGCCCACGTTTTAATGGGCTCTTGGATGTCTGGATGCTGTCCGGTAGTAACTCTCGAAGTGCCCTTAATCACCTTATAAGTGGACAACAGCCCCCTCACTACCATCATGTTCGTGTAAAGCTGGCTTCCCGAGTTTTATCCTCAAACTGTACAACTCCAGCTGACACCCCAGCCAAAGGAGGGACATAGATTTCAGGACTGGGGCCACTAGGAATTCTGGGAATCTTCCTTCCAGAATATCTGGACACCTACGCACTATGATAGTTCCAGCAAAGCAGCTTAGCATGACTTCTGACTCAAGGATCTGACTTACCCCACAGGTAAACAGGACGTGGCACTCACAACAGATACGCTCTCAAAGTGCGACATCCACACCCAGCTGCCTTCTTATCCCCCTTCCCCCATCTGCAGCCCATGTTCTGTTGTAGAGGCTGGTGTACAAGTCCTAGTCTCTACTAGCAATTGTGAGACTGAGCAAATTAATTTCTTTGGGCCTTGATTTCCTCATCTACAAAGTGTGGACAATAATAGTAAGGATTGAAAGAGCCTGTATATGTAAGGTACTTAAAATAATACCTGGTACACAGTAAAATACCTGGTAAATATTAACTTATTATTATCCTGGGCTCCCAACCTATATTATGTCCACTTTAACATCTCAGTATACAATATTTTCAACACCCATCTTTTCTGTATACCCATGCATTTACTGGCTTATCACAGGTTTGTTTTTTAACTAAATTGTTAAAATCTAGAGGATAGTCTTTTGTGAGGGGATAAACCATTAATTTTAAGCAGACATTTCAGAACTTTGAATTGTATTGTCTTTGTGACCAAATCTGTATACCAGTGAAGCTGTTGGAATTCAAAGCTTTTGGAAAGTCTCTTTGAAAAGGTGTGGGTCATATTTTAACTTTTCAATTGGTGATAAAATTTGTCTATTTATTGAGACAGGGTCTTGCTATTTAGTTCAGGCTGGCTTTGAACTCACTCTAGCTGGCCATGAACTTGCAGGCTGGCCTCGAACTTGCAGCAATCCACCTGCCTCAACCTCCCAAGTGCTGGGATTACAGGTGTGCACCACCATAACTGGCTAAATTTTAATCCTTTAAGGTAGATTTTATTATATAAATGTACCCAAATTGTTTGATAGCCAAGAGACCACTCTAAGCTTCAAATATGTATATCCAATAGCCTGCTGCATAGCCTTGTTCGTCTTTCAGGAACCAAACTGATGATCTAATTCCCTTCCAAACTCAGAGCAGTGTTTCCTACATCCTCCTTGGCTCAACTCCAAAAACTTGGTTGTTATTGTTGACACCTCCTCACCTTCCTTTATCCACCCATCACCAAGCCTCAGTCATTTTGTTTCTTAAACATCTCTCGAATCCACCTACTTATTTTCATTTGCTGCTTATCACCTTAGTCCAAGTTGCCATCATCTCTTGCTTAGACCCCAGCAGCAGCCTCCTAACAAGACTATTCACAGGTACTTTCTTCAGGCCTTTCTCTGTGTTTGTTTCCAGGGGTCCTTCCAAAGGTTTCAAACCTAATCATGTCCTTCCACACTCTCCTTCTTTTCTTCTTTAAAGTCTATTGGTATTTATAGCTAAATGGATGGACCTTGAGACTATACTCTTAAATGAAGTAAATCAGCCACACATGTTTAAATACAGCATTGTTTCTCTGGTGTGAGAAACCAAACGTGGAAATAAGGACTGAAATGTATAATGGATGTTGGGAAATGAAAAAAAAAAGTGTTCAAATGTGAACAATGGAGGAGGGAGGGAGAAAGGAAGGGACAAGACTGAAAATGAAGAATAGGGGCTGGGGATTTAGCTTAGTGGCACCATGCCTGCCTGGCAAGCACAAGGTCCTGAGTTCCATTTCTGGAACTGAAAAACAAAAGTGGAACTAGAAGCGGGGGAAAAAAGGAAACAAAATATTTGTACATGGGGAGGGTTGGGGGAGAATGGGATAAAATAAAATTTAATTAAAAGAATAAACTCTATTGATAGGATAGTTGAATGGCCTTTGTCACTTTGTTACTTCTCCCATTAAGAACTGGTGTTTAGGCTGGGTGTGGTGGCCCATGCCTGTAATCCCAGCATTTGGGAAGCTGAGGCAGGAGGATCGCTGTGAGTTCAAGACCAACCTGGGCTACATAGTGAGTTCCAGGTCAGTGTCAACTACATAGTGAGACCCTGTCTCAAAAAAAAAGAATTGGTGTCTATTTCCCTGTCCCTTGTGTCTGGGCTGGCTTTGTGACTAGCCTTGCCCAACAGAATGTGGTAGAAATCTGGAGCCTAGTTCTTTGAAGTCCTTGCAGTTTCTGCCTTTGTCCCCTTGGAATGCTGCCCTGAGGCTGCCATATAAGTAGGATTAGACCATTGGAGGATTAGGCCATATGGAGAATAGAAGCACCCCAGCCAACAGACAGAGCTAACTATCAGACATGCTAGTGAGACCTTGGGTGTTCCTGTTCAGCCAGCCTGCCAGCTGGATGCGGCTGTGAGATAGAGGTGAAAACAGCAACCAATCCACAGAATTATGGAAAAAAAATTTTTAAAGCTACTTGACTTTACTAGATTTGGGGGTCATGTTTTGTGTGTCAGTAGATAACTGACAGAGGCTGTTCTGCTCTCCTTTAAAGATAATATCCTGAATTTTGTATGCTAAAAGCTCTGTGTGTCTGACTCATCCATGTCTCAGATTCTGTTTCTTCTTTAGACACTCCTCTGGAGACCTTTGCCTTAATATGGTTTGGATCTTAACTGTCCCCCAAAACCTCATGTGTTGAAGGCTGGTCCCCAGCTGGTGGTCCCCATCTGGAGATGGAACCTTTAGGAGGTGGCACCTAAGGGAAGGATGTTAGATCACTGGGGTGTACCCTTGAAGGAGATATTGAGATCCTAGTTCTACCCTCTTTCTGCTTCTTGGCCACCATGAAGTAAGTGGTCTCTCTCACCATACTGTGCTGCCTCATCACAGGCCCAAAAACAACAGAGGCAAATGATCATGGACTGAAACCTCTGAAACCATGAGCCAAAATAAACAGTTTCTCCTTTTAAATTGCATATCACAGGTATTTTGTCAAAATAGAAAGTAATACATCTTCCCTTCTGTCACGAGACCTTCACATATGCTATTGCCCTAACTCTCTTGCTTTCACAGTTAACATCTACTCAGCTTCCTGCTGTCAGCACAACCTCATTATGTCAAATACATTACATTACAGACACTAAGACCACATACTTTCCTCTGGACAACAGACAACTGAAGTTTGTATTTGATGTGTGCTCATGGGATTGTCTCTCCCATTAGTAAACTGCACAGAGGTTGTTCTGAGGCTGGTTTTGTTCACCACTGCATCACTGTGCCATATCACAAGACTCAATAAACAAATACTTTATAAATTCATGAGTGAGGTGGATGAGAAATATGGCAAATGCATATGTACAAAGCAGGTATGATAACACAGAAAGGTTTTGTTTAAAAGGGCTTCTAGCTGGGCATGGTGATGCACACCTGTAATCCCAGCACTTGGGAGGCTGAGGCAGGAGGATCACTGCAAGTTTGAAATCAGCCTGGGCTACATAGTGAGTTCCAGGTCAGTCTCAACTACATAGTGAGACCCTGTCTCAAAAAACCAAAAAAAAAGACCCGGCTGGTGCACGACCTCCTGGACTGCATGGCAACAGACCCAGTAAGGAAGGTAGCCGCGTGGGCGCCCTTGAAACACCCCCACGACCTTCCCCCACACCATTCTCAAACCTCCTGATTGGGCCAGTCCTTAGACCTACTCTGCAGAGGCATAGGTTCTCATAAAGGGTAGTTTTCTGAGCTCCCAACTTTGAACATCTTTAGGTAGCCGCGGGCGCCCTTGAAACACCCCCACGACCTTCCCCCCCACCATTCTCAAACCTCCTGATTGGGCCAGTCCTTAGACCTACTCTGCAGAGGCATAGGTTCTCATAAAGGGTAGTTTTCTGAGCTCCCAACTTTGTGA